TCGTCACGAGCCGCAGGGTTTAATTTGGATTTGTCTGTGCATGTTTTTTTACTCTCATAGATTTTGTTACCATTGCCTTGCATTATACGACTGATAGACTGCAACGGCTGGAGTTAAAAATCATCATATGTGTTCTACTGTAGAAACAAAGTCACCTACATCTTGGATGCCCTGGGGGTAAGCAGATAAACATACAATTTTCATTTTTGGGTGAACTATCCCTTTAAATGCCTATTTTTTTCTGTGCTGCTCACACTGAATTACAGTGACAATGCGTAATTTTTTTTCAAAATACATGTGTTGACATGAAAAATGTCAACGTGTAGTGATCATATGACTTGGAGAAAAAATAAATAAATAGAATACCCGAAAACACATTGCAAAAAGTTTGTTTGCTCAAAACTCATAAGCATGTTTAAATGATTAAAAATAGAGCTTAAGTTTAAGATGAATTGCATTGTATCATATATACTTATATGGTATTGTGGGAGGGGAAAGGTATATCACAGGTACATCACAGCAGAATATGCTGCCCATCATAAATTAAAACATGTGAGGATTAGATCTGAAAAAGGCAAATCAATGGATGACACTTGTCTAACCCATTTTTGATTTTATAGTATACATGCAGAGCTTCAGCTGCACACTACAAAAACAGCCAGTGTGAAAGCAAAATTGCTCTGCTTAAGCATCCAGTATGAAACGGGCAAAGGTTGAAAAACATACAGGTTTGGAATGATTTGAGGGTGAGTAAAATTATGACAGAATTTTCCTTTTTTGGGGGTGAACTATCCCTTTAAGTGCAAATTCTGGGCAATCTCAGATGCTTTCAGTAAACTGGTTGATTTGGGCAGTGTCTTTGTTGTCGTGGAGTGAAGCTGATCTCGGGGTGCAGTGATGTATGTGTTTGTTGTTCTCTGGGCACGTGAGGAGAATCCCACTGGGCTGGAACCCTATTAGAACCTCAGCACTCAAGCTTATCTCATCTGATAAGACACACAGAGACACGAGCGAGAACGAGAGCTCTCTAATGCACTTCTTCACTGATAGAGGAGCGAAAAGGAGGGGAGATGGTATGAGAGTGGAGGAACGAGGAGATGAGAGGTCTTCTGTTTGACCGAACACTAAATTAAATTAGTAAACTGTGTCTAAAACAACCACATATCTGCAAGAAAGGCCTTGGAATGTCTGATCCGGTGTTGCAAAAACGGACATGTAAAATTAATGTCGTCCTTCAACAGTAACCAGATTGTGAGAGACAAAATACATTTTGATGCAAAAAGACTGCTGCTGTGGGCCGCCAATTTGCCTATAATGGGAAATTTGATAATCTTTGGCTGAATTTAGCTAGACAGAAAATAATTCAAGGTCCAAATAACCTACAATATTCTCCTTTGAGAGTAGTAAAAAGACATTTACCTCCTCTCGTAAATCAATGAATCCAATTTCGAAATCTGAGCTGCTGGAGAACCTTATCAGTGACCTGTTGCAAAGCGAGGTGTGAAGAAAACTCACTCAAACACCTCACGCTCGATCAACAACTTTCCAAATCAATCACATTTGCTGATTGAATTTTGAGCCAACGACTGAGTATTTAACAGCATGCAGATGCTAAAAAGATTGTAAGGTTTTTCTTTTTTCCCTTGGCTTGGTGGTTCACCCTCCAGACGCCAAGATATAAGTGTTATAGGCACTCTTAAAGGAATAGTTTATCCGGTCACAGCATGTCTGACAAATCTGAATGGCTATGAACAAGCACAAACGAGATTGAGAATGAGAAATTATTGTATACAATATTCATTGAATGGAAGCAACTCGAGCATTCTGATAAACTTCTTGTTCTTTTGATCCATGGAAATCACATGGGTTTGAATCATTATTATACCTGTATTAATATAATTCTGCAACGTTTTTTAAATCAGAAACTTGATGAAAAAATGAAACATTTATAAGAAAAATTATGCTGCAAAACATAATTTAAAAACATTTAATTTAAGCCACAATTTAATGACAATTTTCTCTCTTTTTTTCCCTTTTACTTTGCGGGGTGATTTAAACTTAAATTAATATCTTATTTTAATTTTAATATATATATAGCTCTGTTAATTTTTATATATGTTATATTCTTTAATATTATTTAATATCTGTATTAAATATGGTCCAGTTAATTGAGCATTACATGCTTAAAACTTAGATGATCTCTTAGCATGTCTTTGATATTACTTGTTATTGTAGTGTATGCTTATAGAGCATTATATCAGCATACCAGAATCAAGCAAAAACCTCAAACAGTTGGAGTTTCTATAATTGTGTCCTACTGCCACCTACTGGCCCATGCATCTGCATGCAGCTCTGTAGCATCTGCGTTTTCCTCATGTGATGTCATCTGTTGTAACTAATGCACATTCTAATTACAATTCATGAGAGGAATATGACAATCTGGGCTTGGCCCATAGAAGTTGGCTCAGTGTATTGATACTGATCAGAAATGACAGCAGCACCGTTCCAGAACCTCAAAGACAAATAAATCTCAAAGAGCACAACCACACAGCATGTGCAAGTTCTACCGCATGAAACCCCGCTCATCTAAATATAAGACTCCTCTCTGAGATTCTGATTTATTTATAAACCACTCGAAGACACAGATAGAAAATATTCACAGCATAAACATTACAAAAGAACATGTCACAACCTTTCCAAGGATAACGAAGCGTTTTAAATGTGTCAAAGATGATCAGGGTGAATGAATTCAAAAGAATTGTTCAACACCTAAACATAAGACTCCTCTCTGAGATTCTGATTTATTTATAAACCACTCGAAGACACAGATAGAAAATATTCACAGCATAAACATTACAAAAGAACATGTCACAACCTTTCCAAGGATAATGAAGCGTTTTAAATGTGTCAAAGATGATCAGGGTGAATGAATTCAAAAGAATTGTTCAACACCTAAAGGATTCAAATAGGGAGGCTATTTGAAAGGCTATACAGGTTTTAAAACATCAATGAATAAATATGGCACTTAAGATGGCACTAATGTAGTGCATCAGAAAACATCCCTTTTTAGGGATCATTAAAGGCATAGTTCACCAAAACATAACAATTCTGTTATCATTATCTCCGTCTCTTGTAATTTCAAAATTATATGACTTACTTTCTTCTGCAGAACATAAAAGATTTTTAATTAAATGTTTTTAAGGATGTTCTGGTTGCATGCATTTACACTGAATGTGGACAAAGGCTTTTAAGCTTCAAAAAGGATGCAAAAGCGTCATAAAAGTGATTCTATTAAAAAAAGAGTGGGCAGGATGTTCTTTAAAAATTATTTTTGTGTTTCACAGAAGATAGAAGTCATATAGATTTGGAATGAAAGAAGGGGACGGGAAAAAAAATCCTTTATGAGTAAATGATTCCTTTAACACGTACAGAACTATTTCTTCATAATGGGCATTAAACAAGACCCTTGCACCCTGATACACAAACACACACACAAACAGACAGACATACACACACACTCACGCTATGGTAGTGTAGACATGATGCTGTATGACATTTTCCTCTGTGCAGTTCCTCAAAGTCCTCCAGATAGCCTCGTGTTTAGTCTTTGTGCAGTTTAAACATCAGTCATCCAGTCAACATCATCTCTGGTCCGGCTCATTGTCACGCTCAGCTTGTGTGCTGCTGTAAATGTTCATTTTGTGGTCTGAAGGATTTTCTGTGCACCAAGTGTCTCGGTGGATGTTTTTAAACTCATTTCAGAGCATCGCTGAAGCCTCGCTTATCTGCGAATGTTATGGAAGATGGAGAATACAGAAGCAGCTTGTTTGATTGCTGTTTACTCTAAAATACATAATGCAACATGCGTTTTATCAGTAAGCAAACAGATGTGATGCAACGACAGGAATGTCATGAATAAAAGGCGATGGGTCAAATAAAATTATGTTGACATAGATGTGAATATTAATCTAATCTATCCAGTAATTTTTCTAACAGATTTGGTTTTTAATTTGCATGCACAGGATACAGAAAACAAGACATACAGAGTTTATCGAACAATGATTGCGCACCTTAAACACATAAATATATCAGCTGCATTGGTTAGCAAATAAATAAATAGAAAAGTATTGTTTGAAAAAGTAATTAGAATAATATGGTATAAGTTTACTAAAAAGTGATCCAACTATTAAAATATAACAACAACAACAACAACAACAAGAGTTAGCTTATATTTTATTTGCTCCATCTTCGTTTTAATTTAGTTTAAGCTTAATTAATTAAGTTTAAAACTAATTTAGTTAAAAGAAAAAGTAATTTCATGTTTTTAAAGTAATTTGAAATGTGCTTTTGTCATTATTATTAGGTTTGTATGTGTGTGTGTGGGGGGGGGGGGGGAGGCAGATTACAAAAGAACATGTCACAACCTTTCCAAGGATAATGAAGCGTTTTAAATGTGTCAAAGATGATCAGGGTGAATGAATTCAAAAGAATTGTTCAACACCTAAAGGATTCAAATAGGGAGGCTATTTGAAAGGCTATACAGGTTTTAAAACATCAATGAATAAATATGGCACTTAAGATGGCACTAATGTAGTGCATCAGAAAACATCCCTTTTTAGGGATCATTAAAGGCATAGTTCACCAAAACATAACAATTCTGTTATCATTATCTCCGTCTCTTGTAATTTCAAAATTATATGACTTACTTTCTTCTGCAGAACATAAAAGATTTTTAATTAAATGTTTTTAAGGATGTTCTGGTTGCATGCATTTACACTGAATGTGGACAAAGGCTTTTAAGCTTCAAAAAGGATGCAAAAGCGTCATAAAAGTGATTCTATTAAAAAAAGAGTGGGCAGGATGTTCTTTAAAAATTATTTTTGTGTTTCACAGAAGATAGAAGTCATACAGATTTGGAATGAAAGAAGGGGACGGGAAAAAAAATCCTTTATGAGTAAATGATTCCTTTAACACGTACAGAACTATTTCTTCATAATGGGCATTAAACAAGACCCTTGCACCCTGATACACAAACACACACACAAACAGACAGACATACACACACACTCACGCTATGGTAGTGTAGACATGATGCTGTATGACATTTTCCTCTGTGCAGTTCCTCAAAGTCCTCCAGATAGCCTCGTGTTTAGTCTTTGTGCAGTTTAAACATCAGTCATCCAGTCAACATCATCTCTGGTCCGGCTCATTGTCACGCTCAGCTTGTGTGCTGCTGTAAATGTTCATTTTGTGGTCTGAAGGATGCCAGACGTCTGTTTTGAGCATGTTTCAGCCTCGCATACTCATAGTGGGCTCACATATCCACATCCCCATCATACACCAGAGCCAGTGCCTTCTGTGGACTGCTGCTGGGACTGTCCTCCGGGTTTTTACTGAAATGCATATACATATACAAGCATGCAAAAATGTCTAAATACATTTAAACTCACCACTTAAGATACAATTTGAGTCATAATTTGTTGCAGTTTAAACTATCACCACTAGAGCGCAGAACATACATTGTCATATTTACCAATTATAGTCATACATGTTTTTTTTGGTCTTAAAAACATATGCCAGTTGTTTATTTAAGAGATAATGTTCAGTCAGGCAGTCATTATGGCAAAATAAACCAACGGGAGGGTGATTAGGACCTTGATTGTTTTATTATGTGAGAAGAAAGAGTGATAGAGTCACAAGAAAAACATTAAACTAGTACAGCCATGTAAAAAGTCAGCCTCACCACAGTAGGAAGGACATAATGATGAGGAGGAGGATGACAACAAACCCGGCCGCCATCAGCCCATATACCCACAACTTGACACGGCCATCTGTCAATCAAAATAAACATGAATGTTCACAAAGTACAGCTTCTGTAAATCCTTCTGACCTGATTCTGGTTGAGGAAACTCTTGACCACTATGTCAACCAAACAATCCGCCCAATACAGTGCTGCAGGGATGACTTACATAGATTATGTTTTTTGAATGAGTTTTTGGTTAAATGTCTGAAATAAGGTGTGTGCTTAACACAAGCTCAAGATATTGTCATGTCTTATTCTACAACATAAAATGCATCAGTAATACCCCATCTGGATTTTTTTAAAGGGTTTACTTGTCATGAAAACGGCGCTCACAAGTGGTGAAATGGGGCAACAACCAAGGTTTTCGGGACATTAAACGTCATCACACCGAACAGGTTAACTTTTCTACTCACTAGTCAGCCTCATTGCATTTCTAATCATGCTTTTGCAGACTATTCTAACTCAAACTTGCAGAGAAATAGTTTTTTAAATAAAAGCTTGTTTAAATTGTCAAAGTCTTTTCCAGTACCTGGTCCAAGAGGCTGCAGCGCCCAGTCCTGGATGTGGTTCTTGTTCCAAGCGTGCTCTGGTCGGCCTGCGGTGGTCTTCACATCTTCCTTCTTATGGTCCAGCCCTGGTGTTCTGGTACAGTAGTCAAGGAACCCGTGAGAGGTCATGACCTCCATGAAGCCCTTCTCACAACCACAGACTCCATTCTGACAGAAAGACAGAGAGAGTGATAGCAGCATGGTGACAGCTAGATACTGAAATGTGCAACGTTCCACATATGGAGCCATACAGTTGTTAATTGCACGGCATTAGAGGGTGAGATGAAGTTGTGATATGTGATAATAAAGGTATTTATATCTCACTATAACAGAGTGTCAAACGATACCACACTTTATAAACTCTCAGCATCCGTCACAGCTCATTTCCATATAAAAATAGTATTCACTGCTGAATTATTGTAAAACATGGACTGGGTGATGTTACCATAACAGCAGCTGTACTACCAGTAGGGTGAATCTCAAGAACAGATCCCTATCATATTTCACTGAAGACTTTGGACATTTTTTTTCTATTAAATTGTTAACCATATTTATGATTAAAATATAACAACAACAACAACAACAA